AGTGGGGTGTCTGGGCATTGTCACTATGCCTGGCCCTGTTTCACATCTTTGCTGGTGACATGGACAATGGTATTGAGTACTCCCTTATTTAACAGCACATTCTCTGATGACAAGCTGTATAGCATGATTCACACACTGCAGGACAGGAATACCATCCAGAGGGATCTGGACGGGCTTGAGAAGTGGGGCTGTGCAAAGAAGTGGGACATAGGGGTACTGGGGGATGACAAACTTGACATGAGCTGGCAATGTGCACTCACAGCCCAGAAAGCCAAGTACATCCTGGGCTGCATCCAAAGCCCTGTGGGCAGCAGGGCAAGGGAGAGGATTCTGCCCCTCTGCTTTGCTCTGGTGAGACCCCACCTGCAGTGCTGCATCCAGCTCTGAGTCCCAGCATAGGAAGGACAGGGACCTGTTGAGGAGACCGGGCTGGAACATCTCACCTGTGAGGACAGGCTGAGACTGCTTGGGCTGTTCAGCCTGGAGAAGAGAAGGCTCTGTAGAGACCTTATAATGCCTTCCAGTACCTCAAGAGGGCCAACGAGAGAGCTGGAGATGGACATGGGCATGTAGTGGTAGGATGAGGGGGAATGGCTTTAAGATGAGAGGTTTAGATTGGTTATTAGGAAAAAAGTGTCTACTGTGAAGCGCTGGAACTGGTTGGCCATAAAAGCTGTAGATGCCTCTTCACTATAAGTCTTTAAGGCCAGGTTGCTTTGATCAACCTGGTCTAGTGGAAGGTGTCCCTGCCCATGGTGAGGGGGTTAGAATTAGATTAAGGTCCCTTCCAGCCATTCTGTGATTTACTGTTAAGTCTCAATCTGTTTTCACCTCCACCTGCCAAACACAAGATAACAAGAAAGAATAAAAATGGATAATTTAAATACGCTTTTCTTCCAGGGAAGGTAAAGAGCAGCCATAATCTAGAAATTTTGCATTGTATTATGAAACAGTCACTTCTGCAGTTTTTAAAGAACTCTTCTACAGACACACACAAAGTGTAAATTTCTTTTTGATAGAAAAAAGAAAAGTGGTTTGAGTCAATTAAGACCAACATAATGAAGCTTTTAAACATTTGTGGAGATACCAGCTACCAACTTCAAAGCAGTAGTAGCTGGCAGTGCTTAGACCTAGCAATGGGAAGGTTCACTAGAGCCAGGTCACATTGCTTAGACTATCCAAGCCTGCATTAAGGGGCTCATCAGTCACCTTGCACCCTTTTGGCTGAACCAATACAGCCAAAACATAGGAGACTTTTTGCCTGCCAAGGCCCTTATACAGCAGCATAAATACAACCACCACCTTCCCATTCCCCTAAATGGAGCTCAAGGCGAATTCTAAATACTCAACAAGTGGAGCGCTGTACTGAGCAAAACAAACAGCTTTGGATTGTATCTGCTTAGCAGTAGTTGAGCACATAAAAAAAGCAAAAGCAGCTTCCTCAAGGAAGCCTCAGTATCTGCTATTGTAAAGACAGATAAAACAATCCTACAGGACAGGTGGGTCTTCAGATTAGAAGGCAGAGCCTGACTCTGAAGTTTTGGCTGTAGAACATCCTGCAGACCAGGAGGCTGTTCCAAATATGGTTGTATCGAGGCTGGAACTCCGGAATGAAGATTGAGGCTTTGACCCCAACTTGGAAGTCTCGTTTAGCTACTCCAGTGCTCTCTGATCTAATGATTGCAGATGTCATCTGTGCAACAGCATCAAGCAGGGTGAATTAAGGACAGTTTCATGCAGATTTTCAGCAGTTACTATCCATGAACAGAGCACCAAGGAAAATGCTCATAGGTTAAAAGCTGACACCAGACACTGTCACGCCCATCTCATCTAGTCATTGCTGGAAGTCTTTTAGGAGGTCAGGCCTGAGGATGAAGAGCTGATACTTAGCATGGGATACATGTAGCTGAAGTATCCTGTATCTGAGGCTGTAGAAGAAGAGAAGAAAGTTGTTCTAAAAAGATGCTGGCCATGCTCTAAATAGTGAATAAAGAATTTCTAGTGCACAGCCTTGGCTGCCAAGTTTAATTTTAACGGCGTTAAAAATAGAAGCACACAATAGGAACCTTAACTAAAAAAATTACAGCAGAACATTCACCTGTGATTTCAGTGCAGCCCCTTTCCACCCTGCTTTGCAGTGTGGCATTGGGGTTCTGGGATGCTCTCATGTCTCTTCTGAGCACCTTCTATCTACACTTACACAACCACTGACCTCAGCAGCCCCTTCCCAGGGATTTATGGCCTTGTGTGTATGCTCAACCTGGAGAGTGTTTGTTTTTTCACACATAAAGAAAAACAAATTGGATTTTCAGTCAGCTCTCTGTTCTCAAAGTGCGTGGGAGAGAAGAAAGAATAGCACACTCCTGGTTCATTTGCCCTTGTTGCCAGCATCTTCTTAAAATGCTATTTACACAAACACACATACTAGATTCTGAATCATGCAGTGGCCACTTAAAACCAAGTTACAGCAAAGAGGAGGTCTCAACCCAAATGCTCAGAAGCTTCCCTGCATTGGGTTGGCTTCAAGTGCAATTTATCCCATCCCCTCAGAAGCAACAAATATGCAGGTAATACAGAGAGAGGATTCTATTGCTAAACAGCGTGAGGAATGCAGTAAAATACAAAATCCCAAGTTGTCATGACCTGTAATTTGCTGCATGTTTTTCTGCCCATTGTGATGCCAAATTTAGACTCCATCTTCAAGATCCCCTGGGCCAAGCCACATCAGTAACGAGAGATGACTGCAGTGGAAATACAAAACCACTGAGAACCACTTCCCTCCTGACTGTACTCCAACCCACATCCCACATTAGGCTAGATAGCCTGAATTTTGACTGCAATAAAGCAAACTGCAGAAATGCTCAGGCGCCACCATGAGGGAACAAAGCTGCAGAAAGAAGGTAGTTTAGTGAGCAACATAGCTGTGCATGCTCCCAGTGGAACTGAGCCTTCCCTCTAGGACCATCCTAGTCCCAGATCCTTGAGATCTCCTGTACAGGCATTTCACAACTGTCTGCAGCATTTGCTGACCAGCTGCAGAAATTAAGAAGTGAGAGATCAGACCTTTGATTTCTCCCCTTTATCTGTGTGGGAGGGTACAATTCATGATCCTATGAACGATTCCCATCTTGTCTGCTAGCTTTGCCAAAGAAAAAGACTGGTGACAGTTGTGCTGGATCCCATGCTATTCCACCTCTACACAGGCAGCAAAGTAACCCATGCAACGTTCCCTGCCTTGTCATTGCAGGCCGTTGGAGAAAGGCCTCCATATGAGTCCAGTACTTGGAGTTGCAGTGATTCTTTACTGTAGGGAATGTTCCCTCCATGAACAGCCTTTTGTGTAGGCACAAGGCAAAAGTTCTCCCAATGTATGGTTGCATCAGCCACAGCTGTAATTGTCTAAACCACTAAGCAGGCATAACCATCAGTAAGTTGTATTTTAGCTGCTCAAGTGGCCATACTTTCAGCCTGGTCTTAGAGGCTGCTAGATTATTTCACACTGAAGCTCAGAAACCACTGTTATGACCTCTGAGATTTACAAAAGACACTGATCAGTGTTTCTAAACACCAAGCTGTGCTTGGACACCTAGAGACAAGAGTTGTTGGCTCAAGCTGTAGCAAGGGATACTGAGGCCCAGAGCCACTCCCACTCCTTTGGTCTAGACCCAAGCTAGTTATTTTTAAAGTAGACTGAAATAAAACACAGCTGCTGTGGAATTGGCTTCATGAGAGATGTAGGTTTGAAGGTATCTAGTCCACAGTACATAATTCTAAGTGGGCAGTCTGAAGTGCCAAAGTTGAGAAATTCAGCCTTTTCACAAAAGTTCCATCAGGGCTTTTAGCCCAGAAACTTCAGTCTTAATTTAATCCAGCAGCCACACAAGAACCATTATAATCAATGAGCAAAAACATGGTAATATAGTGATTCCTATAGGTTGCATGCAAATGTTAGAGAATTTGTATCTTGTATTAGATTGGTTAGTGGAAATTAGAATATTCAACATAGAAGATTTAATGTATTGTAAACGGGAAAATCGCTCTCTTATGCTCTCTCTTCGTTCTTACTTTCTTAAGCTCTCTTCTTTTACTCTCACTCTGTCCCTCTCTCTGCCCTGCTCTGAGCTGCAGTTCCTAGCAGGGCCTTATACATACCCACGCCCTACAAAATAAACTGCAAACTTTAAGACCAGAATAAAGAGAGCGCCTGAGTTTGTCCCAACCGTCCCAAGGCAGCGATTCCTACAGAGTGGCGCCATCAACGTGTCTCAAGGGCTGACTCCGCTTCTTCAGCTGTGGGAAACTCCTTCATGGACGGTAACTAAAAAAACACTCCTAATTGCTTTCTTGGTATCGTGAGCACGGCAGTGCGTTGCAGTGCAGCGTTATGAGCTGGAGCTCTTAAAAAATCTGTCGAGGCAGTGCTGGACCAAGGGAAGCCGAGCTCTAAAAGGACAAGCCTGACATCCCTCGAGCACAGCCGGGCACTGCTTAGTATCGCCTGCGCTGAAGCTCGAAGTGTGTGAGTCGAGGAGGGTCCCGAGCGCGCTAAGCTGTTGCCCAGCAACGCCTAAAAGCACAGCTCACAGGAGGGGACCGGGAATACAGCGAGAGATCGCCTGGCCAGCGTCCACGCCGCAGCTTGGATCACAGATCACGCTGTATCAGCGATACCGAGGTTAGTACACGACTCTATTAATGGAACAAACTCACTCTGCTCACAAGAGAGCTCTCTATAAGCAACTAAAGCACTTACTAAGCTCCAGTCAAAATAACCTGCCAAAGCAGGAGTTAAAGAATCTTTTAGAATGGACTTTGATTAACTTCCCAAACCCTGATCATTCTGCAGTCTTCACCAGACTTTTGAGACAAAGTTGGGATAAAGCTTTTTAATCATATATCCCGCCGAGATATGGCTGCCGCAGAGCTGATACCAGCCTGTAGAGCGCTAGTGGAGCTTTTCGCTGACAAACAGTCGCCCCCTCCCTGCCACGTGTCCAGCCCTAATCATGCAAGCAACCACCACCCCCCACGCTTCCGCGGCCCTTCCCCCCTCCCTCGCAGTTCCGGACCCAGTCCTCACGACCCCAGCCGTTGTCTCCGCCCCTACTGTGTCCGCACCCGTTCCGCCCCCTACCGTGTTCAACCCTGCCGTGCCCACCCCCGTAGCCTCTGCTGCTGTCATCCCCGTCCCGAATGCCTCCTCCGCCCCTGTTCCCTCGGTAACCGCGGGTCCCGCCCCTGCCAACGTCATCGCCTCGACCCCGCCCCTCGGCTCCGCCCCTGCACACCCACCCGCCACCGTCACGGCCCCTCCCCCCGCTGCTAGCGTCATGCCGACCCCGACCCCCTCCCTCGCTCCCGCCAGCCCCCGCGAGCATGGCCGAACCCCTCATGGCTGCAGCAACCATCATTGCGAATGCCCTACAAGCACGCGTGGCCGAATCAATCCCAAACCCACAAGCGCCGTTAGTGCCAGAAATTCCATCCCCGCATGTTGCGGCCACACTGCCGTTCCCAGCACTGGGAGACGGGAGGACCCCACCTCCCAAGCCGTCCCGCATCCCCCCGGAGCCGATCACGGCGGCCGCCTCAGTTCGGCCCACAGCCGCCTGGTGCCCGCATGCTGTGTATCAGCCTCCGCCAGGGCCGCCTGCAGAGATGTCGGCGCTCGCCCGCCCCTCCGTTCCTGGCGCGGCCGCACCGCAGCCTCGGCTCCCCTCCCCGGACCACCCAGCGTGCCCATGCCGGGTGTAGCGCAATCGCCGTTCGCCACCATTGGGCAGGATCACACCATGCCGTCTCCACCGCAGCTTCCCGCTTCAGAACTGCTGAGCGCGGCGGCCTCGCCTCCACCTCCCGCCTCAGCCACCACGGACACAGCTCCACTGTCCGCTTCTACCAGCACCGAACGGCCTTCTCCAGCCCCCTCTCAGAGCGGAAAGTTCGCTCGCCATCCAAACTACTAGCATCCTCCATGCCGCGCCGGAAACTGACATGGCACATGCGCAGAAACCACCAGCGCCTCCTGCACATGCGCTGCTTTCGCAGCCTCCGTCCTCCCTGGGTCCTAAAGCCCAACTCCAGCTGTATTCATCCGCGGTTCTCTCTAAACCGGATCTTCATGTAACGCGCACACAGCTTTATCACCGAGGGATCCCTCCGCATCCCGTGATCTGGTTCACCACATCCCTCCAGTACCCTCGCCGCCTTCATCAAGCGACGTAACCAGCACAGCCACTTGGCACGCACATTATGCAAGACAAAGGGGGAGCTGGTGTATCCACATTAATAAATACAGGACAGACAGAGAACTATTTTACACATGCAAATGCTAATTCTTTGCCCCCTCTAGAAAAGACATTCCCACTTCAAGATGAGGCACTGTATCCTGAAAACTCTCCAGAATTAAACTCCCCAAAATATTATGATAATAGTCAAAGGACAAACTGGCAGGAGATAAGAAGACAAATTTGCAAAGATGAAAACCACGATTTATTAGCTATGCCAGTGATATTCAGCCAACAGGCAGGTGGCCCAAGAACATGGACTGCCATTCCATCTCATGAAATTAAAGAATTTAAAAAAGCGATAAAGGACAGCGGCATTTGTTCACCATATTTTAAACAGCTACTGAAAAGCACATTAGAAGGACATACCCTCACACCAAATGACTGTAAAAATCTTGCCAGCATAGCTCTCACAGATTCGCAATACATGTCCTGGGAATTAAAATGGAAACGAATGCTCACAGAAATATTAGCTATTTACAGGCAAAGTACCAATGCAGATCTCCGTACCCTCACCATATCGAAACTAACAGGTGATCACCCCGATGACAGAAATGAGGATCAAGTGAATTTACCCAGAATAGCATTAGAAGACATTAAGAAAATGGCCCATAGGGCCTTTTTGCAAATTCAGCCTGCAGGGAATTTTGAAAAGGCTTATAATCTGATTACCCAAGAACTGTCTGAGCCTTTCACTACATTTGTGGACAGAGTAATCCAAGCAGCAGAAAGACAATGTAGTGATGACATAGCTCACCCAGTAATGATACGAAATATAATTGAAAACAATGCCAATGCAGAATGTAAAAGGGTTATCAAAGCCCTGGGAAAAGAGAAACCCACGGTGCCTGAAATGATAGATGCCTGCAACAAAATTGGAAGTCCTCAGCAGGTAGGTACGATCCAAGCGACTGAACTTGGAAAAGCTCTGGGAGAACAAATTAAAAAGGCACTCACAGTCCAAACAACACAAGCAGCTGTACTGGCAGCCCAGGCAGAAGCACGAGACCAGAAGCTCATGGAGATCCTAGGTGCTCTGCACCTGAACTCTCAGCAACGAAGTAACACCATGGCTGTGATGCCTGCCAGCATAACCCCAGGACCTCGTTATTTCTGCAAAAACCCAGGTCATATCGTGAGGAACTGCCCAGAAGTTAAAAGAATGGCACAAACATCAGATTGCTATTCTACCTGCAAGAAGGGACATAATTTTTCATGGCAGTGCCGAACCAGACCCGATATGAGCAGAAAACAGAGTCCAAAAAACTCCAGAAAGAATGTGCCTCGCCATCGCGTGATAAAAGAAATAATGGCTCCACAGACTCCCAAGGGAGAATTTGTAACTATTCTGGCTCAGAAGCCCTTCGCTACATCACCAGCAGAACCCCAAGTAACACCTCAGGTTTATTACCCCCAGGGTTCTGGTGTACTTTGGCAACCTCCAAGCCAACAACATTTTTGAAAGACAGTGGCTATGACTATATTCCAACAGGGATTACTGGGACTTCTCAATGTAGACAAGATTTTTTAGTTATTGGTAAAGAGAGGAATGGTATTCTAGGACTGCTTGGTTTGCCTTGTGTAATCTCTGTCAATTGCAATGAAGAATTATGAGTGTTAGCCAATGCCTGCTATCCCCCGTTGCATATATCACCTAACACCCCTATAGCTATTGCTATAGCACTATTTATGGGGACAGCAGATCACATGCCACTTTGCGGTCCCTTACCTGCTCATGAAAACCCCGAAGTCCTATGGATTCAACACATAAGCACACAATGACCAATGATAACTTATGAATTGTCCATTGGTGGGGTTTGAGCTAGAATTAACGGGATGATTGATACCTGTATACACCAGCAGATGTTACTGTGATCTCCTATTACTATTGGCCAGCAGAATGGAAGTTAATAACTCCTCCAGGCACTCTCACAGGCATCAGAAGTGTCACTCCATGCTTGCAGAGCAAATCTGTAATCAGTATTACAGGACCGCAAGGGAGAAAGGCATCGATCCATCCCTATGTAGTGCAGAGACACATCACAGTGTGGGGAAGGGATTTGCTTTCTCAATGGGGAGCCAGAATTGAACTGGATTTTTTGTAGGGATCGCTGAAACACTCAACACTTTAAAACTGACCTGGAAAACTGACACCCCTGTCTGGGTCCCACAGTGGCCCCTAATAGATAATAAGCAGAGTGTCCTTAAAAACCTAGTGGCTGAACAACTGCAAAAAGGCCACATCAAACCCACCAACAGCCCCTGGAGTGCCCCTATATTCATAATCCACAAGAAAACTTCAGGCACCTGGCGATTGTTACATGATCTCAGAAAAATTAACGCAGTGATTGAGAACATGGGCCCTCTACAACCTGGCCTGCCCAACCTTTCCATGATCCCAAGGAACTGGCCACATGCTATTATCGATTTAAAGGACTGTTTCTTTAACATTCCGCTGCATCCTGATGATGCACCTCGTTTTGCTTTCTCTGTTCCAAGCACAAACTTGCAGGAGCCACTTCAAAGGTACCATTGGCTTGTCTTACCGCAAGGCATGAAGAATTCACCAACCATCTGCCAATATTTTGTAGTGCGTGCCTTATCTCCAGTCTATGAACAATTCCCACAATCAGTCATTCTTCACTACATGGACGATTTACTCATAGCAGCGCCAACACAGGAACAAATGGAAAAAACTCAAGATGGTGGTGTTGTTGAAATCAAAAAGGCTGGACTGGTGGTATCTGAATCAAAAATACAAGAGATTGCTCCCTGGAAATACTTGGGTTGGAAACTAACAGAACAATCTATTATGCCTCAGAAAATACAAGTCCAAACAGATGTTCACACTTTACAAGATTTACAACAGCTTTTGGGCGAAATTAACTGGGTCAGGCCTGTGTTGGGAATCACTGCTGATGAGCTTGCTCCACTTTTCAATCTGTTGAGAGGGGACAATGACATTAGATTCCCTAGGTCTCTCACTCCCGAGGCTTATACAGCCTTAGAAAAAATTACTGATGCCCTGCAGACCAGGCAGGCACATCACTGTATCCCAGATAAACCCTTTTTTCTTGCAGTTTTAGGAAAAGAGCTGAGACTATGTGGTCTAATTTTTCAATGGGACCCCTCTCAAAAAGATCTATTACTAATAATTGAATGGGTTTTCATTTCTTACAGGTTGCCAAAGACAATCCTCACACCTTTAGAAATTATGTCTCAAATCATCATCAAGGGCAGAGCAAGGCTTCTTTCAATAGCAGGCTGCGAATTCGCAATTATCTATTTGCCCATGCAGAAAACTTATTTTGAGTGGCCAATGTAGAAGTCAGAGGAATTGCTGTATGCCTTACTCGATTTTCCAGGCGTTTGCTCCATTCACTATCCGGCACACAAAATGATCAAAGCTAAATTATGCTACAAAGAAAAACCTCTGATCAGTGAAGAACCTTTAGATGCAATTACTATCTTCACTGATGGGTCAGGGCAAACGCACAATTCAGTAGTTACATGGTAGAACAAAGAAACAAAAGTCTGGGAACAAGATGTCCAAAAGGTTGAAGGTTCTCCTCAGATTGTTGAATTGGCAGCAGTTGTAAGGGCTTTTCAGCTCTTTTCAGAACCTTTCAACCTGATCACTGATTCGGCATACGCTGCCAATATTATTAAGAGAATTGAAGGATCAGTTTTAAAGGATGTGAACAGCGACAAGTTGTGTCTTTGGCTCACCTGTCTCTACCAAATTCTATCTCACAGAACTAATCCTTATTTTGTTTTTCACATTAGAGCCCATTCAGGCCTCCCAGGATTTATGGCAGAAGGAAATGCCTGAGCAGATGCTCTGGCATCAGCTGCATCCGGTGACGAAGTTGCAGCAGACATTGAAAATTCTACCTCAGTGCTTGCTGCAGCTACGCTGCCTAACACTATTGAACAAGCAAAATTGAGCCATGCATTTTTTCACCAAAATGCACAGGCAATCAAACGAGATTTTCACATCACTTTGGAGCAAGCACAAAATATTGTACGAGCTTGCCCAGATTGTCAGCTTGTTTAGCCTCTTCCTGCTTCAGGAGCAACCAACCCAAGAGGGTTGGAGAGCTTACAGAAATGGCAAACAGATGTTACTAAGTATCCCTCTTTTGGGAAACTTAAAAATATTCATGTCTCTATTGATATGTTTTCAAATGCAGTTTTAGCTTCTGTATATACAGGAGAAACAGCTAAGCATGTTTGCCAGCATTTTTCACAGGCCTTTTCCTATCTGGGTGTTCCCCAAGAAATTAAAACTAATAATGGTCCTTCATATGCTTCACAAGAATTAGCTGCATTTCTAAATGACTGGGGTATCCGCCATACATTTGGCGTTCCCCACTCTCCCACAGGTCAAGGAATAATAGAAAGAACACATCAAACCCTAAAACGCATTTTAGATCAACAGAAAGGGGGACAAGCTCAGGCTACACCTCAAAGGAGGTTAAATAAGGCTTTGTATGTCTATAACTTTCTGAACAGCTCTGCAGAAGAGCCTGACACCCCCCCCCCCCCCCCCCCATTTATAAACACTTCTTGAACAACAAAAAAGCAAAACTAAAAGAGCACCCCCCAGTTCTGGTTAAAAACTTAGAAACAGGACAAATAGAAGGACCGTACAACCTTATAACATAGGGAAAGGGGTTTGCGTGTGTTTCTACAGGTGGAGGACTCAAATAGATTCCAGCAAAGAATGTGAAGCCCTACTGCACATCAAAGCCTGCTGAAGCCTCCACATCAGCCAGTGACCCCGCAAGAAGAAGCCAGGAAGCAAGCACCCAGACCTGAATTGTGCAGAGTCATCCAGAGAAAGTGATCAGCCAGAAACAGCTGAAAAAAGAATGGAGTTTTATTGTTTGCGCCAATGCATGCTGTTTTTCTTCTTTTGTTTTAGTTTTTGTAGTGAAGCTTTACCTGTAAATCAACCAAAGATGAATGTTTGGGTTGTTCTAGCCAAGTCTGCAGGCTCAGATACTATCTGCCTATCTGACACAAGTCCTGACAAACCTTTTTCAACCTGTTTAGCAGGAGTACCTTTTCCAGAGAGTTTCGATAATGTTACCCTTGAGAAATATTGGCCATATGATGATCACAATGTATCCCCAACTCCCAGCCAGAAACACCAAACTTATATTGATAACTTTAAAGTTGATAAATCAACTCGAACTTTCAAGAGCTCGAAATCCTAGGCTCAGTAACTATGGACAGTTGCTACTTCTTTCATTTCCTGAAAGAAGACCGTCCTCATTTAAATGTTACCCCACACCACCCAGTTTATAGCAATGTAACTTTTCAGTGTAATCAAACTAAACTTCTTACATATTTTTAACCTCATGCAAGTCAATTTAGCAAACTACCAATACGATTTCCCAAAGGAATTTGGCTCATCTGTGGAAACAGAGCCTGGCAGGGTATATCTTCATATATAGAGAGTGGCCCCTGTGCCCTGGGACAACTTAGAATAATAGCCCCCAGTGTTAAAGAAGTAGTCAAAAAGAAAAACAGAAAGATTAGATCCTCCACAGGACACCAATATGATCGTGATAGTGACTTTCACCCTTGGAACTCTGGAAAATCAATTGTCACAAGCATTTTTCTACCTCAGCTGAGTTCTTCAGTTACACTGTGTCTTGGTTTAATTCTGTTTCTCGGCCAATGTACCAAATTGTGTTTTCGTTTTGATTTGCCAATTTAAATAAACTTATTTTCCTGTTGTGAGACAGAACCAGGAGCAAAAGAGCAAGGCAGGCTTAAAACTTGAGAGTATGAAAAAAAAAGCAATTTATTAACTACACAAACAAAGAGAAGGGAAAAAAAATTCAGAGTAAGATTTTTTCAAACTCTTCCTTCCTCCCCCCCCAACTTTCATAACAACAAAAGAAACATATAACAAATACTTCGATCAGACCCTAATTTAGTCTATTTCACTTCACTTCTGGAGAGAGAAGCCTCTTCTTGTTGAAAGCTGTAGGGATTTTCCTACAAGAAGGAAGAAAACAGTCTTCTCGTGGTTTCATCTTTCACGATTTGCATCCGCCCGGACCTGCAATCGTGACGCTCCTCCCAACTCCATAGCCTTCCTGTAGCTGTAGATGTGGGCCATGTTTGTCTCATGGGCTATTATTTTTAAGAATGAAATGTTTTACAGCAAAGGTTCTCTTCATCTCCTTTCTCTCTGTTCAGGCTACATCCTCAGAAAACCGAAATCTTTCTTTTTCAGGGCAAAATTCTCAACACAGGTGCTCTTTAGTCAAATCATCTATTAAATGGAACATTTCCATCCCCCCATGTCTTTTTCATGGTTTATAGGAATATCCAGTACATCAGTTCATCCCTACAATTTTACAAAAAGATTTTCAGCCATTTCAGCATCTTCTCACTCTCCTTCCATCTAAAAAACTTAGCTCTTACATCACTGACTTCAGAAATCTTCTTCTTCCCTTTCATATTCAAAGGAAAGGCTGAAGGCTTTGCAAATCTTATCTGAGTACTAGAGAGTTAAAGTTTAACACAACTACAAAAGTTGGGCCAGGCTCAGGCCGCGCTGGGGGGGGCAGCTGAGGTGTTAATCAGCCTTTCTGGGACTGGGCTGCAGCCCCACACTGCTCATGGCCACCTGGGCAGGTCCAGCCCGTCCGACACTGCTCCGAGCTAGCAGCAGGGGCCGGGCCCCCCCCACCCCAGAGCCGCAAGCCTGTGGAGGAGGAAGCAGTAAAGGTCTTATCAAAAAAACCTTCTTCTCCTCCCAGCCATCGGGTCTCCTCGTTTGCAAACGGGGCCCAAGCGGCCTCCTGAGCCTCCCTCCCAGCATGGGGGGAAGCTCGGGTTGATGTTACCTGCTCAGCAGCCGGAAAGACAAAGAGACTCAGTTCTGGATTACCTCCTTCAAAATGTGTGTGCACGGAGCGAACTAACTTTCTCTAATTGGCTGTTGCAGGTGTCCCAACCCCCACAGAGCAAATTCCCTTAGAGAGAACCTCTCTCTGAATTTCTTCTTCCCATGTCAACCTATCACACACTGAGACAGTTAAATAAGTTGGGATGTTGGCTCAGTAAAGAAGTAAATGCTACCTCAACTGCGATCAGTGATTTGTTGACAGACGAAGAGGCAGTCAGACATGCCACTTTACAAAATAGAGCTGCCCTTGATTATCTTTTACTAGGTCATGGACATGGCTGTGAAGATTTTCAAGGATTGTGCTGCATGAATTTATCAGATTTCCATTCATAAACAGCTACAAAACCTAAAGGATTTAGCTAACCAAATTACAACAGATGACCCATCATGGCTAGACAGTTTGTTTGAAGGTTGGAGCTTTGCACCTTGGCTAAAGGAACTCTATAAAATAGGCTTGTTTATTTTAACAGTAGTAATTGTGGTTTTATTATTAGTACCCTGTATACTTCAATGTGCGCAGCAAATAATGAATTAGAGAATGTCTAATATCTTAGTTGTTCAACAGAAAGGGGGAGATGTTGGGAAGGATGAATTAGGGAAATCTTATAAATACGGGTGCCTAGCAAAAGACTTTGAGAATATGGAAAATATAAGCTAAATAGAAATGATAGCAATTTTCGACTGTGTGGCTGAAAGCAACTGAATGCCTGAAGGCCCCTTTGTTTAGATAATGTTAGATGCTGCAAATACCAAGAAACAAACAGACATCCTCCCTAGGCACGGCAGGAAGAGTCCCAGATAAAATTTAGAGATAAGAAAAGCAGTAAAACATGGTAATATAGTGATTCCTATAGGTTGCATGCAAATGTTAGAGAATTTGTATCTTGTATTAGATTGGTTAGTGGAAATTAGAATATTCAACATAGAAGATTTAATGTATTGTAAACAGGAAAATCGCTCTCTTATGCTCTCTCTTCGTTCATACTTTTTAAAGCTCTCTTAAGCTCTCTTCTTTTACTCTCACTCTGTCCCTCTCTCTGCCCTGCTCTGAGCTGCAGTTCCTAGCAGGGCCTTATATATACCCACGCCCTACAAAATAAACTGCAAACTTTAAGACCAGAATAAAGAGAGCGCCTGAGTTTGTCCCGACCGTCCCAAGGCAACGATTCCTACATAGGTCATATTAATTCTTCAAGTTCGAGCTTTTTTTTCTGGTCCCGGATAAAGCAGAGCAACACAAAGGTAAATTCTGCATTTCACAGAGAGGGAAGTGCCCGCTGCTAATCTGTGGCATTTTACCTTTGGTTTGCTCATCAATGTAAGCAGTCCAAGTGCCATGCATCCTCCATTTCTGCTGATGATACTCAAAGAGTGCAAGGAGGAACATACTCTGATTATCTAAATTGGATCTAGACATAGTATCTGTTACAGTTACTGTACAGTGCCAGAGCTATCTGAGTAAAAGAGAAGAAAGAGGAAAATTCCAGTATTCTATTCACAAACACAAATGCAATTTAAATGTTACAAATGTAATGGGAGCTGTCATAAGAACTGCAGGCACGACATAGTAATTTCAGTAAATAAAGCAGAGTAAATTTCTTATTAAAACAATCCATTCTCAAACAGGAACTGTGGCTACAAATTCAAATGGTACAATGACATAATTTAACTGCAACAAATCACACTGCTCTCATCCTTTTCTTTTCAACCCTGAGATTTTGGAGCATCTTAGGAGAGCTAAAAAACTTTCCTGAAAAACAAAACCTTCTGAGAGGCTTAAGCAGAGTGCACAAAAGAGTAGTGAGTGTGTACACACTGTACTGGATGGTGAATTTCTCTTGGTAAACAGAATTTAACCTCAACTTAAACCCTTTGACTCTGCAGGATGCTGCAAGTTTGTTTGCAAATGTTTTTCTCTGAAGGACTGAACAGACCACTTGGGCTTTGTGCACAGGCCAAATAGCGGCATTGGTGGCAGGAATGCTGCTCAGGCTTCCTATGTATCCAGTCCTGCTCCCATTCCAAAGCATGGCCTCCTGCTGATGTCCAAGGTCCACCTCAATCACATTTTGGTAAATTTCCTAGGATGGGAGAAAACAACGTTACTAAAAATACTGAATCACACCTAAAAGGCAAGTGCTCTGTCCTGCAGCATCAGAGCACTGAATTCAGACGTTCTGCAAAGTGACAAACCCCAGAGAAAGAGGAAACAAGTAATTTATGAACTGGATGCTTAGAAGCATGTACCTGGGCCTGCTGGTGGGAAGGACAGCCCATGCTTGATACTGGAATTTTCTCATCTCTGCAGAATATAGCTGAAAACAGAAGTTCTCATTTTTGTTCTTCCAAACCAAGATCAGCAGTTACCAGGACAAAAAAAGATGATGCATTTTTTACACTCAGAACTGCAACACCAACAACTCGATCTCATTCAAAATATCATAATATTCTTTAGGGCACACATGGAAGAGATCAAATTTAATAAAAATGCCTAGAATACAATAATAAAGGTAGTAAGCACAGCCAGAAACACATGAACTGCACCTGATTATCCATGTCCAAATATCAACACAAGGGTGAATGAAACTGCTCAGTGCTTTAGTCCAATTAGTACAAACCATGTGTATATTTACTAAGACTAACACAGAAAGCATCCAAAAATAGCCAAAGGTTAAAAAAATGACTACAAATTTTTGAAGACAAAGTGCTCACTTTATAGGTAGTTTGCAAAAACAAACAAAAGCCAAACCAAACCAAACACACACACACACACAAAAAAAAAAGCACGTTCAAAATGCTGGAAAGATTCCTTGCTATAGCAGAACAGCTTAAAAACACACTCTAAGGCTACATAATTGGAAATGTGGCATTCACAATTTGAAACATCTAATAGGAGACTGGAAATTCACTTTGGTATCGCTGAGCCACTACTTGCAGTCTTTGGAATAGATCTGCCAAGGCACTTCATTTGGGACTGATGCTGAGCCAATGTACCAAAGACAGAATGCTCCAGTAACACAGACACCTGAATGTGGGGAAAACCAGATCATAAAGCATTTCCTTGTTCTTGGACAGAGCAGCATAAGGCTGTTGTCCTCCAGGGACCTACAGGCAGGACCACAGCTTGGACCACAGGCATGGGTTTTTTGGGAAAAGGATGTATCATTGGTTAGAGATATGATAACACATTATCCAGCTGGAGGGAGGAAGCTTATTAGAGAAGCATTTGGCTGAAAAGCTTATGCACACAGATGTGATTCATCTCAAAAGATCAACGTTTTCAAGCAAAATCACAAGTTCTGCATTTTGAAGACAGGAAGAAGCATTTTCCCCAATAGTTTTTTGTGCTGGCTGCCAAATTTTATATTGCTATTGCATCTGAGACACAGCTGCAAGTCTGATCCCACTGAGAAAACAAGCAATGCAAAGGTACATGTATGATCTGCATTTGAACATTTTAAGCCAGGGTCACTGCACTTATCCAACTCCTCCTTTTGGGGAGCTGTGGTTACTGTGCTGCAAAAAGAGAGAAAAGACAGCAACACACATGGACCTCTTTTGGGGAAAAAAGGCCAACTTTATTGTATGGACATCCCCTATTTAAAATGTATTACATGCAGCTAGGACAGGACAGTAGTTCATTGGACAATTGGGACAAACATCCCTGGGACAGCATGTCCGGATGTCCCATGGGAAAGATACCAGGTGTTAATCTTTATTATGAATTCCCGTCTGTTTTTCACCAAGTTATCACTATGGGAGACTGCCTCCCTTAACTGAGGCTATAGTCAGCTTATCAGCCTGGGAATGGACCTGAGAGACAGGAGAAATCCAGGCCTGAAAGGAATTGCCAAGCTGTAATTTCCTAGCTCTCTAAATGTGTGTGTCCACAGGGAGCTGACAGACATTTCCCATTTGTGAGGGGACACTGTGCACAAACACAGCTCTGACCTATCATCAAGAAGCCTTCCACAAAACTCCTGGTTTCAAAGGCTGACTTTATCCTACTGGATGTAGAACATAAGCTCTGGAGGTGATTTTGTTGGAGGTAGACTTTGGGATTTTTTTTAAATTTTATTTTAATAGCCAACAACAGGCTGACACAATGAATGCAGACATTTTAATCCATACCTTGTAGGTTAAAGGCAGAACTTTTCAGAACTATCTAAAGTATTTAGGAGCCTGCACATTCCAGAAGAATTTTACAATTAATTAGATTGTTCTGGATCATCTGGTTTTTGTTTTTAAATTGCTTTTTCCTTTAAATCTCTGAGAATGTGTATTTCAAAATCAGTATGTGATTAACTGGAATTCCACATTATGGAATTACAATGAACACGAGAACTAATGTATGCAATTTCTAATTTCTGTTTCTTCACTTATTTTGCAATCACTGTTAGTTCGTATCCTGGACAAAAGGTTTTATGTCTTTCTTGAATTAGGCCCCTCTTTATGTAGTGAACTAGAACACACCCGAAGCACAATTATGCAGCTAAGATAAGACAAAATGCAGCAGTGATGCACCAATTCATCATGTTTACATTCTTCTATTGAAGCCCATTACTCACACAAGAGAATTTTCTCAAGCAGTTAGTCACCAGCAGACAGCTTTCCCCATTACTCCTTCCTTTTCTGCAGCTGGTGAACAGCCTGGTCCTTCCCTCACCATCCCAGAAGTGCAATATTAGGAAAATTCAACACCTAAATTAAAAGTAAACGAACAGTACTTAACTTCCCCTTAACCAAAATAAATTCACAATAAAACAGTACACCTTTCATGAGCAAGCAAACACTTTTCGTTTAATAAAAAATAGACAAAGACAAAAACAGCCTGCCGTCCATTTAACACTGCAGAAAGATACTGAGTATCTTTCTTTAGCTTATTACATCAAACATACAAATAATCTAGACACTAGTAACAGCTTGCATAGAAACATTTTGGTTTGTAATTTGTGCAAATCTTACTGCATAAGGCATGCTCATCGGCTTAGGTAGCAATGCAAGAGTTATCAAGGAATGCAGAGAAACCGCAAGGAAAATTCCAGGCAGTCTGCAATCCACATCCACTTACATTGGACACTTCATTGGACTTCAAAGCCCAACAGCTGATAGCTGCAGATCTGTCTTCGACATAAGGCAATATGGTATGTGCAGGGCTCAGCACCTGCTCTCAGCTATTCATGGGTTTACTACATGTAAGATCACTTAAATTCAGAAAATCTGAGCCAGTAGTTAAAAAGGGGGTTTGGATATGGATTGGTAAGAACTCGGCTTCAGGCTGAAGCAATGGAAAAGTAAAAGAGGACAATGATGTCAAGAAGCACAGCCCTCCACATAAAGGGGTTTTGTGCAGATTTTGCATGTCTTTTTATACTGTGAACTTTTCCAATGGGGCAATGTTTTTTCAAGCAAACTTGTCTCCTAACAAGTTATTCAGGAGAGTATTTCTGGAACAGAAAAAGCTAATGTGTTTGTGTCTCAGCCAGCCAACAAGTGTCTCTTGCAGAAATTCAACAGGAATTAGTGACGCTGAAGAAAGGTGGCTCTGGAAAGAGGAAGGGATGAAAAAGAAGCTGCAGTAAGAGGAGTATCAGAAATCTCAAATAAGTTATGTAGCACAGAGGGAAATTATAAGGCCTAACTGGAATAATATTTTGCCTCCTCCTTCCCCCTCCAAATCAAGTATTTTCAGGAAATATTGAAGTACAACTTTCTTTTGAAAGCAGCTTTGCATTTAAAATCTGTTTAAACTCCAAAAGCATTTTAAAAACCCACTAATAATAATCTTCAAAATCCCTCAATATTTTGTAACATAAAATGGAATGTTCCTGGGCTAGAGTTGCCAGGTCCTTCAGGAACTCTGGGAAAAGGGCAGCTGCAAGCACAGTGTTCCTCACATGCACAGGAAGGCTGGGATGAGCGAGGCCTTTCTTTCCTTTCTGTCCCAGGAAAGGCTGCAGTACAGCAGGCTGAGTTTCGGGAAGATTCTTTCCTTTCCCTGTGTTGATGTTGTGCTGGACATTACCTAAAGACAGGAGGAGAGGAAAGAAAAAAGATTTTGTATATTAAGCCCACAGAGTATTTGTACAGTGTCCAAACCCAGTTTATAAGGATTGTGTTCAGAGCTGTAATTTGCAGTACCCAGATTGTGCAGGGTGATACTCCACTAATCCAGCATTTTAAAGTTCTATGTGGCCTGGTTCTATTGCATTTTTTATTACCTATCTTTCCCCAGGTTATATATCATTCAGTTCCAGCTCTGATGAGAGAAATAGGAGGGCAGAAGAGGAGTCAAGGGAAAGAGTAATATGGATATACCTTCTGAAACAGCAGATAATATCTACCCATCTACAGCCAGCATGGTTGTCTCCATTTCAATAATATTATGCTCTATCCCTCCCCCATCAAACTGTTGTTTTGATTTTACTGCTCTTTATCCTCTCCCTGTGAATCACCATGTCAATGGGTTCAAGGCCGAGCTATCACATCACCACGAGTTTGAATCAAGTTAGAAACTAAAGGAAAAAAAAATGGATTTTTCTGCAGCTATAGGCCCCACTAACTACACTTACTTCCCTGTAAAACAACTAACCATTAAAAAGAGAGCAAGTGAAAGCCACTGTGTGTTCTGCTATATGATCTCTGCTGCCAGAGTTCAGAGGATCAGAGCTCAAGTATCAGAATGCATGGAATTACAGTGACATCAGCACTTAAATTTCAATCAATTTCTCCTTGTTTCAACCTGAAACGAACTGCCCTTTAATTACATTATAATTAATTCAGTGAAACTAAAAAGGTGACAAAATTTAATGCTGATGGAAATAAATACTCTACAAAGAAAAATTAACTTGCTACAAGGTATCGAGACCAAGAGCGGAGACAGAGAAAATTCTGCCTAACTTAAAGGTGGGATGTTCTCCTGAGATGCGTAAATCATTACAAAGAAATAAAAGGGCCATTAACTAACATACAGCAGACAAACCCAGCACTGCATTGCTGCCTTCAGAAGGAGTTTCCCTTACAGTGCACACAGTTTATGTTTAAGTAAAAGGCTCAAGTGATGCCAGCCTTGCTCTAAAGCCCCTTCAAGTAGTGAACAGGCAGAGCTGTAGATGAAGGCCTCACTCAATGCTGCACAGCAATCCCTCTGTTCAACAGCTCTGCACTTTTGTTCCATGCCTGTACTTCACCCTAGGCACTGTGGAATTACTCTACTCTTCCAAACACTTGGAAAAAAAAATTAATCTCAATCATTTAACAGACTTATACTTTTCTTGAGTTTAAGACACCTTTCCAACTCCAGACTTATCAATCATTCATGTTGTTATTCTACAAATATCTACCTACTAGAGACAGAGTACAGGAGTTTCTTGTGCTTGAGAGGCAGCAGATGTTACAGAGTCCCCTACAAAGCTGGCTTGGTGGGATGATACCTGTCTAACTCCCCACTGCTCTTAGACACACACTGCTCAAGACACACCTTGTTTTTTTCTGTTTGTTTTGCTTTTTTTTGTCATACAAGAAAGATACTAGCGAGAAAACTTTCAGTGTGTATCTCCTTCACTGGTAGTCCAAACCGTAATAACAAGTCTTATTCAATTGTTGCAGAAACCAACTAATCCTGGACTTCTGTCCTCTCTGACATTTATCAAAAAGACCTGGGAAGTCTGGGAAGCAAAACGTTAAATCATCTTTTTCACAGGTGCCAGCACTTGCCATAACAACAGTAACAATTACTTCTTTCTCCTTTGCTTCCAGTGCAGCCACAGACTGAATATTCAGGCTTTCTCTACCTGCATTAAAATAGAGTTCTGACAAAACCTATGGTCAAACAGAGTTTCCAGTTCTTTGCACAAATGTAATTAAAACATGGAAATGAAATAAGAAGCTCTCAGACAGGTAGGAAAGCTACATGTGAAACTGAAAGGAGCTAATGTAAGGTCTAAAGCGATACCAAAGACACTGCTCCAGTAACATGGCTAACACCTGTGGTAAATACCTGATAGAGTGAGCGCACACTAGGCTGAAACACCATGTTGGTGTTGAGCAGAAAGGAGCGAAGAAGTGGCTGTGGATAACTTGCCAGTTGAGTAATAATTCCAATAAGCAGCAAATTTACATGCAAGGAATTCTCCAACATGTTCTCCAGCTTCGACAATACTACGCTGATGAATGGTCCTGCAAGAAAATAAGAAGGAATCAATGCTTTTGTTTTCACAGAGGAAAAACCCTAAGATCCAGGAAAAAGGCATTTAAAGGAAATTTTGATCATCATAACCAAGCAAATTAGCCCTCCCACACACTACTTAAAGACAGCAGGGAGAAAATCCAAACTGTAGCTGAACAGAGAAAGCAGACTTAACAGAGGTGTTGAAAGCTTTTGTGGTTAGCAGCACATTTGCTACCTAGCCAATCAGTTTACATTAATGGCATATTTAATATACGTGACTATTCCACTTGCATGTACCATTAAGGATTTAGCCTAGGACATTACAATCTACCACTCTATTCCCCTTGAATAAATTGGAAGGGTACTACTAGTTTAAATGCAAATAGAATCTGCTATTTTTATTCTTCCTGAGCCTTATTTCTACGTAAGGACTGGGCAAATTGAATTATCGCTAGCTTTCTTGTTCTATCAAAAAACTGGTGTTCTAAAGAAAATATGAAAATGCTATTCTAAACGTAAAAATCAAACTGTGATAGTTCCCATCAGAAGAGAAGGTATCTTCAGTACACCAAACAGTCACACTATTGGGGGTTGGATCTTTTTCTTTTACTTGTTGCCTGTGGAGCTTTCCCATTGACTTGCTAAGAAGCGCTGATGACTGGATACTTGAGATGGGGGAGGGGAAACCCCTCTGGTTTTCAGGAGTTTTTCTCAGAGGGAGGCGGACACCATGATTAGAAGCAGGTAAAAGGGGGAGGGGGGAGGCAGTTGCTCTCTTGATCGCTCTTGGCTTTGGAGGAGGAGGATGGCTGCTACCCCTACCAGAGCCTAGCCAGTAGCTGCCTTCTTCTGCTGCTGGACCCCACACGCCGGCCCTGTCAGGACACCCTGCCAATTCAGCTTGCTGTTTCTGAGCATCCTTCGGGAGCAGCAGGACTGACACTGCCACAGGGTTCATGAAGCAAAGTCTCTCTTTTCGAGCCCTTCCCGTCTCGGACACAGCCGCCATTACCGCGTGCTGCCCGAGCTCGCGCCCCAGCGCCCCCTGCAGCCACGGGGGGAGCATCGCACCTGCCCTGCCCACCGGGAGCCACCAGCGCTCCCTGCCGGCTGTGACGAGAACTGCACCAGAGGGGAAAGTGCCTGCGGCTGAGAGGACCGGAACTGGGTTCCTGTTCTGTTTGTTATTAAATCCATTGTTGTTATTTTGTCTGTCTTGTTATACATACTAGTAAA